TTTTCTATTATTAGTTGTTAATTTCTCCTTGCGATTTTATTAATTTTTTCATTCCACTTTTGGAGGAGTTGCTATTTTTCCAGTCTTTTAATTAATAACTATCATTTAAAAAGAATTATTCAATTTTATTTTCTACTAATCTCCCTTTGTCTAAGACTTGTTTAATAGTGTATGTGTCACTGTTAATTTCCAGCAATAACATGGGCTGACAATATTTATCAATATTTCTTGCATCTGTAGGAATCATATTTGTGTTTTTCTGTTTTTGAGTAATAGTGAATTAATATTGTCTTTCCTAATAACAAATTGTGTTTTCTGAGCACTTACTAAGCACCAGGCATTTCTTCCAAGTACCAAGTACCTTCCAAAAAACTTCTAAGTTTTTTATTTTTCAAATTATAATATAATTGCAACATTTCTCCTTTTCCTTTCCTCCCTGTAAACCCTCCCCATACTCCTCCTTACTCTCAAATTCATGGCCTCTTTTTCCATTAATTGCTGTTTCATGCATATATGTATATAAATATACATATATACCACATACATATACATAATTTCCAAATACCTATATATTCCTAAATACAACCTGTTTAATCTATATACTGTTACTTCTATGTATGTTTTCAAGACTGACCATTTGGTATTGCATAAGCAATATATTCTTCTCTGGGGAAGACTATCTCTCCTGCTCTTAACAGGAAAGCATCCCTTAGTTGCCTGTTCTTCGTTCAGGGTTGAGACCTCATGGGTTTTCCCATCCACTTTGCTGTGTCTTTTGGGGTAATCCTTGTTCAGTTCATGTTTAGGCATTCATGCTGGTGAGTATTTTTGTGACCTGTTGTTGACTATTCCATGTGTACTTTTTATTGTTAGGTTATGCAATAAAAATTTGGTTCACATAAAAACGTATTTTATAAAGTAGTTCTTTATACAGGGCCTGGAGAGATAGCTTAGTCATTAAGGCTTTTGTCATGGGAACATAAGGACTTGATTCAGATCCTCAGCACCTATTTTTTTCTTTTTTAAAGTCTAGCACTTCGGCATACCTCTGCAGTTCTAGTGCTGGAAAGGCTAAGGCAGGAGGATACTGGATCTTGCTGACCAGTCAGCCTAACTGAATCTGAGAGCTCCAGGTTCAATGAAAGACTCTGTCTCAAAAAGTAAGATAAAAGACAATTGAGGAAGATTCCTTGTCTGGTCTGGCCTCTACAAGGACATACACACACACATGCATGAACACAAACATATACATACACATGTATGTGATTATGTGTGCACATGCATTCACATACTCTCAGAAAGTTCTTCATATAAAACCAAATTGAGGGATAGAGAGGTAGTTCAGGGGTTAAGGATTGTTTCGAATTTCACATAGGACTTAATTTTTGTTCCCAGCACCCATATTAGGTAGGTCACAACAATATGTAACTCCAGCTCCTGCACACGGGTGGTGCACACGCATGCACACACACAGACACAGACACAGACACACACACACACACACACACACAAATATTTAAAATAAGTATATGTGTACCATATAGGTCACTGTGTTCCTTCTATGCATTTACTGTGCTGAACTGAGACAACTAAAGGCTTTATACCTACAACATTGTTTTCTTTCATTTTTTACTCCTGTCTCCTGTAGTTTCTACTTTATTAGAGTTGGCCATTATCAAATGCATAGATACTAAAAAGTGTATATTCATTTGGCATTTCAAAGTGTCCTCTTATTTTTAAGGTCTGATCATTTGTTTGTTACCCTGAAAGATCTTACATTTTGACTGAATTCAGAAGTAGAAATCTCAGTAAGGATGATTGACATCTCTTGGCAGTTTGTTCCTGGTTTTTGGGGGGTGGTCCTTAATTCTCTTGGCCAAAAATTTGATAAATTATGCTGCCTCCTTTTTAATTTCCTTAGTGTGTTATTTCTTCATTATCATTTTTGTTACAGGACACTTGGAGTAACAAGATGCTAGCTAGATTTTGGTGCTTTGATTCTGAGCCTCTTATCTTCTTTGTTTAACAGCTTTTGGACATGTTGGTGGCTAACATGTTCTTTAGAGACTAGAAAAGTTTATGGATTCTGCTAACTCTTTAGGGTCCCAATACCTGAGGTGCAGCACTATCTGTCAGTTGAGGAATATTTACCCTCTTTGTTCAGATTGGTATCCACAGTGCATCCCCAAGCAGACATAACTTTCTCTCTCCAGTTCTCCTTGGTCTGTAACAAGAATTCTACTCAACACTCTTCCATGAGTCAAAACCTCCTGCTTCATGGAGAGCTCTTGCTTGTCATCTCCATCACTGATTTGGATGAACTACATAACCCTTCTACTCTTCACCCTAAGCATAAGAAGTGACTTTTGTGGCCATGGACTTCTAGAAAGTATGAAGTTTGTGCTTATTCACTTCAGTGAGTTTTTCACAGCCAGTGGTTGAGTAGAAGATATTCAGATTCTTTTAACATACCCATTTAGAAATCATCATGGAAAAGGAGTTTAAATGCTCTTTCTTACTTTATGACCTAATATGGAATCAAGATCTTGAGCTTTGCTTTTAAATTTTCGTTTGAATCTATTTTTTCTTGATAATTATTAACATATCTGTTTAAAAGATTTTTTTCAAGCCCTATCTTCCTCTATCCTTTTTCTCCCTCCTCCTTCTCCTCCTCCTCCTCTCTCTCCTCTTTTATTTTTTTCTCAGATAAAGCTAACATGTCAATAGTGAAACAAACCCTTTACATTATTACAAAGGATACCAGGCTCCTTTTCTTTCCTGTTATTTTGTTTGATGTTCATAGAAACATTTTGTATGCATAAGCAATATAGTTCTCTGTGTTTCTGTCTTATTTGCTGTATTTCTGAACTGTCTTTTGGTGCTGCAGAACCTTCACTCATTTACTCCAGAATTACTGTTACAGTGTATCATTACACACCACATATTCCCTATTTCCCCTCACCTATTGTCTATTCATTTCTTAGTCTAAATAATAGGATTTTCTAGAACTTCATAATTCTTTTCATATACTCCTTCTTTTCTCCTCATTGTATAATTTGAAGTGAAGTCCTTTTACTCCTAGTTTTTTCTTATAAGTGTGTACTTACATGAGACAACCAGCTAGCTAACTCTACTTTCCTATTCTCTCTCAGAACTTTTTTGTTAGCTGATTATATTTAGACTTTCAGAGCGTATAACATTAAATGCTGTCACCTTGTCCACATCCTTTTGTCTTAGTCCTGCAGTTAGATGTATTTAAACATACATTGTATGTCAAATGTTTCTGTGATTCCAGCTTTGAGTGTGCTTCTCTTCTCTAGCAAATTACACTAGGAAGAATTAGTGGCAGTAACATTCCCTGAGTGCTTGCAAGTTCCTTGCTGTCTATATTTGGCATTTATACTCAAAATCCCGTGTGCATGGATAGAAAATCAAATTGTCCTCACAAAGACCAGCCTGCCTTCCCCATGAGCTTACCCCTAGCCTTGGTGCTGGGTTTTTGCTTTGTGTGTTCATTTTCTATTTTTGTCATCACAAATACGCACAAACTTAATTACATAAAATACAGAACTTTTACTCCTACAGCACTGGAAGACAGAAGTCTATAGTCAAGGTTCTGGAAGGACTACTTTCCTTCTGAGGAGAACTTGGAAAATTTCTTTTCTAGCTTCAGGAGTCTTCTTGCATCCTGTGCTCCTTGACTAAGGTTCTAACTGGTGGTTTCGTGATCATATCTCTTACTGACATTTGACCCCTTTGTTTCACTCTTGGAAGGATCTTTGTGATAATATTGAGCTCACCCAGATAAGCCAGAACCAACCTCCATCTCAGTGTCCTGCAAAGTCCCCTTGGGTATATTTAAAACTGATACGTTCCTGGGCTGGAAAGATGGCTCAGTAGTTAAGAGCACTGACTACTCTTGCAGAAGAGTAGGTTCCATTTCCAGCACCCCCCATGGCAGCTCACAATCATCTGTAACCCCAGAATCTGGGATAACTAATGCCTACTTCTAGCCTCTACAGGCTCCTGTACATATGTGGTGCACATGCATTGACCCAAGCACACACACATACCAATAAAAACAAAACAAAAAACTCTTATTTCCCTGGTGATTTTTAAAGTAAAGAATAGTTGAGAGTTTCTCCTGTACAGCTTGTTGATACCCAGCAAGTGGGACAACATGGAGGGAAAGTGTTGACACAGAGTGGGAGGGGAAGATCAGGGCCTTTCACTCGTGACCAAACCCCTGGTAATGCATGTCCTCATCTCTTCCCAGCACAGCTCAAGAGGGTCTTCCTCCATTTAATAGTAACCTCAAGTCACTGACCTCTGTGACCTTGCATAGGAAAGGAGTCTTAACATTCTAGAATTAGAGGAAATGACTGACAGTGATTATATCTGTGTTTCAATCTTAGTCGTCCTTTGAGGGTTATTACAAATAAGCATCTTATGGAAGAAGACATCTCTGACCCATCTTTGCCAAGTATAAAACACCCTCTCTCCCCTATTCAGCTCTTTCTAACTTGAGAGTCACATACATTTCCTCAACTCAGTGTTCCTTGAGAGATGGGGCTATCTTCAGTTCAGTATAAGAATTCTTGAGTTCTTAGTTTGTCATATCAGTAGAAACTATTGAATAACACACCGAGGACAGCTGCTAAGCCTTTATTGATGCAATGGACAGATAGCAGAGATAAAACAACTTTGAACTCCCCCGAATGCTGGGGGGAATTCAGTGCAATGAGATAACCTCCTCCATGTCTTCCTGTTTCTGAGAGTAGCAGGCAAGAGAGGTGGGTTTAGACAAGAAATCACCTTGTAGAAATGATCATTGAAAAAAAAGAAACAGATGATAAGAATCATGGCTGTCCGGTGAAGTGCTGTGGCAGGGCAGGGCAGGGCAGGGAAGGGCAGGGCAGCAGGGCATGGCATGGGATAGCATGCCAACCTCACTCCAGCTGTCTTTTGGTATTAGGCACTGGAGTCAGGAAAAGTCATGACTACTCTGTCTTCAAGTAGGTATATAGTCCCTTGGCTGTGATTCCTTTCTTCTCCATCTGTGCTGTATCCTGGCCCTGAGGCGAAGGAGCACCAGAGTGAAGGCTGCCTGGATCTTGGCTTCGGATCACTATTTCTCTTGTGTGGTCATTGACCCACTCCTCTCTAACCACTGTGGGTACTCTCTCTCCCTGCCCTTCTTTAACAGTGTCTGTCTCAGTCTGGACTTGTCCTTCTAGCACTGGTTCTCCTGTCTCACAGTTCCTTACCGGTGTCCAGTTTTGCCCCATGCATGACTGCATCTGGGTCTGTTCCTTTACTTGAGCCACTACTTGACGTGCAGACTGGCTCCCATCATGCTCCAAAGTCTGGGTATATGATCCTGCCTGTGTCTGGTAGTGTCCTGTTCCCACCTGTTCTGCCTGATTGCCTTCTTGCTCATGGAACTCAATCCCTCTGTTTTGGCTGTAGGTGGACCTATGAGTCTGGACGCTGCTATTTTCTGCCTGCTGACTCCTGCCTTGATCCGTTGACTGAGTGTGTTTCTGAGTATATGACTCTGCCTGTGCCTGATGGTGTTCTTTAGGAGTCTGGCTTGCCTGATTCCTGTTTTGGCCACGAATCTCAGTCTCTCTGCCTTGATCATAGATGGGTCCCTGTGTCTGGATGCTGCCACTTCCTGTCTGCTGCCCCCAGCCTTGTTCTACCAGCTGGATGTGTATCTGAGTATGAGAACCTGCCTGTGTCTGGTAGTGTTCGGTAGAAGCTCGATCTGCCTGGCTCCTATCTATGCTATGGCTATTTGTCCCTCTGTTCTGGTCACAGATAGATCCCTGTGTGTAAAAGGTGCCTGCTTGGGTCTGAGTCTGAGTTGTGGATCCAGTTGTGATCTCATCTGTCTGTTGGCTAATATGTGGTTGCCTGTCTGACCTCTTCTGTCTGGTCCAACTCTTGTCTTCTATTCTTGGGATCTGTTCCACCTGTCCTGTCACTTGTGCTTCCTGGCTTATCATCTCTTGTGTCTGAGATTCAGCCTGCCTGTCATGACTGCTGACCTGTGTAGGGTAGCTGTGCTGATTCTGGGTATGTGTCCTGACCCTGTCCTGTCCTCTAGAAGCCTGATCTCTCTGTCCATAGCTGCTGTCTTCACAGTGCTGTGCTGCTCCATCTTTTGCCACTTCAGCACCACCTCTTTGACCTTGCTCCAGCTCTTTTGAAGATCCAGGATAGCAGCTTTCAGGCTTGTCAGACAGGCAAGCATCCTTAGGACTCTCATTCAGTGTCTTAAAGCAGGCCCGAGCAACTTTAAACACCAATACCAGGAATTCCTTGAACTCTATAGTTTTTGTGTTATCTTCATCCAACAGGCGCAGTACTTCATCCACAGTTGCAGGATCATGGGGCTTCTTGGGGAAACATGAGGCCAAGTCAGCACTTTTCCTCCAAAAAGAACCAGGTCAGATCAATTGCACTCAACATCGAGGCTCCCTCTGCACTGCACCCCACTGCAGATAGAAGCTCTCAGACACATTGCACTGCCTATAGCATCACATGCTAATGTTTCATGACTGTGTCTTTTGTTGTAGCATCTCTTCCTCAAGGGTAGTTAGCCCTTTTTGTTATATATATCCCTGATTTCAGATCCTCAGGATGATCGAATAGGTAAAGACATATTGAAGGAATGCATATGGTGATTATGCAACTGTCTGGGCTTCTGGTTCCGAATTTTGGCTGTCCTTGGCACTTTGCCTCTGGCACCAACCCCACTGAAAGCATACCAGGAGCCTGGCCCCGTGAGATTCCAGAAAGCTCCCATGATAGGGAGTCCCAGCAGGACAGCAGGCTGTACCCACACTAGCATGCATTGACCAGTATGCTAGTGTTTGCACCTAAGACTGCATTATCTGGTCTGCTTTAGATGTCAGCTGAAGGGAGAAAAGTGCACTATGGCCCTGGTGCTGGCTTGCTGGTTGGGGTGAGTCACTCAGTGTCCCTGGTACCCACAGCTTTTCAGAAATAGGGCTCTGAAATCTCATTTTTGGCTTGACTAATATTGACCTAATATTTCGAAGCAACTTCTTTGTGCAAGACAAAAGAAAACTCTTAAAGAATGCTAATAGCAGGTCACATTTTAGACAGGTCTAGGAAATGTTTACTGTGTCAGATTTGAAAAGCACCAGAAAGCAGTGACTACTTTCTCTTTTAGGCCATTTGAAGAATTTCTTCTTGCCTGAGCTGTCCCCTTAGAGTCTATTTACTATTTATTGAAATTAACATGAATTAAAGCGGAGGATCAGATGCAAGAATCTGCCCTTTCTGTAAGAATCTGGATTTGTCACCTATCATGACCTTTGCCCTACATGTTTTTCTTGCCTGCTGTCACACTTACTAACAGGCAGGATGCTTGAATTTGGCTACTTGCTCTTTACATCCCTTAGGTAAGAGCCCATTTGGGTAAACACGCTTTGGCTGTCCTTATCATGTCTTTTCCTTCACCCCCACATAGCATACCACTATGACGTCGGCAAACTCATGTTCCAGGAGGCTCTTCAGCTCCTGCCGAGTGAGTACTTTGCAGCCACCCTCTGATCTGGCATAGCACCCAAAGGCTTCAATGATCCCGTGGATGTTTTGCAGCAACTGAGGCATCTTTGAAGCTATTCTGGAAAATATGAAAAGGCCGTTTATGGGCACCGACTAGTTAGTCCGACTGTTTCCACACAGTACTCCAAGGCTTGGTACTTTCATAGTGTCTTCAGCTATGTTTTGGATTTCTTCACCTTTCTCAGCCTTTTCCTCAAAATGTACTTTAGCACGGGAAGTTTCTGAGTCAACATTTAACTCCAGACTCCACCACCTACCTGCTTTGCTTGTCTGTGCCTCAGTTTATTCGCTGTGAATGGAGCTGATCCTAGCACTTACTTCAGAGAGGTATCATAAAGGCTTTAGGAGATAATTCATAAGAAGCACCCAGCTGATGCCTGGCTTATGCTAAGTGGCAGCTATTAAGTATCATCGTCATCACTATCATTATGTACACATACACATATATAATTTGTGTACAACCATAGACATGTGCTGCTCACAAAGCAGTTTCCTGTGTAACAGCTTATGATCCTTATTATCACTATATTTTCACAGGTGGGAGGAAAGGCTGAGAAGAGAGAAATTTGTGAAGGCCACACATTATTTTCTTGTAACCCAAATGCAAATATTTCTTTAGAATATACTTGTGGACAACTTTTTTGCCTGTGTCTAGGTTGTTACTGTCCTACTTGGAATATCAGAAACCATTAAGTACACACAAGGATTAGACCCTCCAAGGGTCCAGCCCTACCCTCTCAACTTTCATGGAGAAGGGTTTCAGGAAGGAAAAACTGGGCTGTACCTGTTGGAGAGAATAGGGGTAGGGGTGCTATCCTGGAGTAGGAGGCCTTTTAACTGAGAGTCCAAGATGTTCTCTGCCTTCAGTCCTAGGAACTGTTGGAGAGATCAGCTTTTGTAAGGGACTAGTGGTCCATTACATCTAAAGTACTGGTGACCTGTGATGGATGGTACCCAGTCAAAACAGAAAACTTTCATTTTCATTATGCAGGAATTTGGAGGTAGGGGAAGGGGAAGATGGGAGTGACTGAATGGGCAAGAGACATATATGTGTTAAATAGAAAACTTAGAGAGACCAGAAAGAAGAGAGGTGCCAAAGGTGATAAGGTTCAAGGACAAAGAAAGATGGAAGCTTGTAGCATCTAGAAAACCAAGGAAAGGACCTTGGAAAAGAAGAGAAAGATTGTGGGGAGAGGATGGTATGGGTAGAGAAACAAGGAGTGAGGGAAGGAAGGAGCATGGTTCACAAAAAAGCAAGTCAGTGTGGTCAGAGGATTGAGAAAGTCTAGACCCCATGTGAACTGTGCAGGAACAACTTTTCTACTGATCCAGGAGTCAATAACACTTTCCCCTGTGTGCTTTGAGTCATATAACCTCAAATACTTCTTCCATGTTTTAAAAAAATACTTGACAGTCTTTAGTCACTGACCTATACATAATGAAAAGAAAAAAAAGTCCTTTTAGTGATGTTTCAGATTCTTAGAATAAGTCTATAAATTCATTTTGCCTATATATCAACACACACACACACATACACACACACACACACATTCCTATATATAGGAAAGGAAGGAAGGAAGGAAGGAAGGAAGGAAGGAAGGAAGGGAGGGAGGGAGGGAGGGAGGGAGGGAGGAAGGAAGGAAGGAAGGAAGGAAGGAAGGAAGGAAGGAAGGAAGGAAGTGCATCGCCCCTTCCTCCATAAGGCCACTTGAGCTTATTATCTGGGTTGGCAGAAGCAAACCTTCTAGAACCTTAGGAAGGAAAAAATTATGCTGATCCAACAAGGTGCGTGAGTAGTGAGTGGCTCCATTGCTGCTGTCTGTGTCATCTAATGAGAAGAACTGCAGGATCGACTCATTGAGAGGAGAAAGCTGTGTTGCTTCAGAAGAGCAGCATTTCCCAAGTGCTCTGGTTTTAGCCTGCCTGAGGCGCTCTGGGGGCCCTTCCTACCTCCCATGAAGCACTGAGACCTGACAACTCAGATCTGGCAGCCCTGGATTCATGAGCTCAGCTTGCTAAGACACTGAGAATAAGCAAGAAAGTCTTCAGGAGGGAACTTACCTAATGCTCAGACAGGATGGGACAAGTTTCTGTTAAGCAGTGTGTGGAGTACTTGTCAGAGGGACAAGAACCTTTTATAGAGGATTTAATGGCACTCATATGTATTTTAGACAGGATGTCTCCACCCTACAAGCATGCTTGATTCATCCAAGGCTCAGCCCAGCCCAGCCACACCTCCTTACTTCTTCAGCTCACCTTCTGACCCAAGATTGCTTTCCTCTAATTACAAGCCCTTTCTACCACATTTAGTACTGTCTCTTGCTGTGTCTGTTCCCCTCATGACTAGGAGACCCCTTTCCAATGAGCTGGGTTCAGCAATACTTTGCACAGGCCTGAGATCCTGGGGAATATGATACATCTCCTGCAAAGTCATAGAAGTCTTTGTTTCTTTATTCGAGCATTCAAGAACATATCTCTTTATTGAAGATTACTCTATTCAGAGTGTTTTTTATTCTTCTGATACTGCTGTTGTTACTTACACATGTTCTAAGTTCTCGTTTTGGAATTACTCTTCATACCTAGTTTATGAGTTCCTAAAAGATCTCAGTATGTGCCACTGTGTATCTGTGTGTGTATGCACACAGGTATGGAAGCTAGAGTTAAACCTCAGATGCTATTTCTCAGACACCATCCACACTCCACTTTCTTTTTCTTAGACAAAGTCTCTCATTGACCTGAAACTCAACAATTTTCCTAGGCTAGCTGGCCAGAAATCTCTAGGAGTCTGCCTGTCTCCAATTCCCTGGTGCTGGGATTGTAAGTACACACCACCACACCCATCATTTCTTATTCTGGATTCTGGGGATTGAATTTAGGTGCTTTTAAGTTAAATACTTTATAGACTGAGCTACCTCCCACCCCCAAGATACGATCTCAATTTTTTTTAACACAAATAGTATATTCAGGATTGGAGAGATCCAGCAGAGGAACTTGGTTTTCCTGGTACAGCAAAACACAGAACATAAGATAAATCTGTAGCTAGATAAACACTTGGACTGGTTTTATTTATTTATTTATTTATTTATTTATTTATTTATTTATTTATTTACTTTACATCCCAATATCACTACCTCTCTCCCCAGTCCATGCTCCAGAGCTCCATACCCCATTCCTTGCTCCCCTTCTCCTCTGAGAGGGGGAGACCTCTTGGTTTCACCCCACTCTGGCAGATCAAATCACTACAGGACTAGGCACAACCTCTCCCACATAGGCCAGACAAAGCAGCCCAGTTAGGGAGATCAGCATCCATAGGCAAACAACAGAGTTAGGGACAGCCCCCACTCCAGTTGTGGGGAAAAACCATGAAGACCAAGCTTCACATCTACTACATATATGTGTGTGGTGGTGGGAATTTCCTCGGTCCAACGAGAACCAATCCCTGACAGTATGAATGATATTCCACTATGCTTGTAGACAAGATCCTAGTATAACTGTTGTCTGAGAAGCTCCACTGAACAGCTGATGAAAACAGATGCAGAGAGCATAGCTAAACATCAGCTGGAGCTCAGGCTGTCTCATGGAAGAGTTGGTGGAAGGACTGAGGGATCCTAAGAGGATAGGGACTCCACGAGAACACCAACTAACCTGAACTGTTGGGGGTTCCCAGAGACTGAACCACCAACCAAAGAGTGGTCTCAATTTTTATTCAAAGAGAAAAAAAATTACTTTATTCTGAGAAGGTAACATTTCACAACTAGTAAGAAAAGGGCTTAAGGTAATTATGCATGCTTTCTTTACTGGACAGAAGGAACCAACTGGCCCTATGAACATGAAAGGCAAAGGCTAAAGGAAAGAATCCTTCTTTATACTGACTCATACAAGCCCATTTCCTCAAAACTTCACAGCAATGTCGAAGGTGAAAGTATCCATCAGTTCAGTATGAGAGAACTTGGAGCTTTCACAATGGGTTACCTTCCTACGGGTTCTCTCCTGTCCTATTTCATACTCACTGTTTCTGGGCTACAAGAGGAATATACTAGTCAACTATATATTTCTCCCCCCCCCCACACACACACTGGAGGCCATTGTACAAAATTCAGTGGACTCAACATCATCTGTTAGGTTAGGTGTATCTTCCAACATAGCATCATCTGCTATCAGATCACTACTGATTAGTAGAAGAGTTACCAGGGTTTCTCTCAGGTTGGGTGGCAGATGACTTCTCACTCTGAAGATTTTTGACTGGTCTGAATATCTGTCACCATGACAGCAGCCGCAAATCCATCCCTTACTGAAAGCCTGCTCACCAGCCCTTACCTTCACTGAGGAATCTACAATGATGAAGTGGAGGTGGCTAGAGGGTGTCCATTGATGCTGTACCCTCAAAGTAGCACACAGTGTTAATAGAGTTTCTCTAAAAACGGTCACATTTTGAAGATATTTTGAAGACTGGATGATTATATTTTCATAATTGCAGATTTAAATTACCACAGTGAGAGCCAAAATGATCTCAGGCTATCCGCAGTTCTTTAATAGCCGTTTATGCTCCACCCCTGCATCTGACTTCACCCCATCTTGACTTGTATATTAAAGTTGGAATATATTGCTAAGCTTGACATGTGTAGCTTGTACCAACTCAGAAGATAAGAATGTCATCAGAGCACATTGGAAATGTGTGGCAGAGCTTTCCCTGCCTTGCTATCACCCTCCTGCATGACTTTCCATTCATTTGTTCAGTATGTGTGATTTGTAACTCTCTTTTGTTCTGAGCCTGTAAATTATTTATGTAACTTCTGCAATGGAACACGTTACCTGAAGCACCCCAATTGGTGCTATGGGGTCGTGGCCATTCATGTTTAAGAATAAACTATTTCTTTTGGAGCAAAATTTTATTTTTGTGTCTAAATCCAGAACATTCCATGATTCTTCTCTTTGCTTTAGAAAAGAGTAAAACATTTCTATAGATCAGAGAGCTGTTTCCAGGAGCAGCTTGCGTGAAGAGACATTTGATGACACTTGTTGCCAACACAAGTTGGGAGAGAAAG